AAGCAATAGTTAGATAGTTATCAAGCATCAACCGGTTGGCACTCAAACAACTTTATATCTGTGGTTTTCTACTTAGTTGGGACTCACTGCTATGAAATCTGAGTGTAAGAGGAGGGACATGAAAGATGGAAATATCCTGGTGGTGAAGAGCACACTAATCAGGGATAAGAGAGAGGGATGGGAGGAAAAAGCATGTAAAGACACATATTAACTCAGAGAGAATTCGCAGTCAGAACAGCGGAGGAGAGAAAATATATCGAACATGTGATTTATTTCCACGGACATGAGGGGAGGTTACACAGTACCGGTTCAAGTTCTGAAACTGTTGAGCAGGCCAGGACCAAGCTCGTGTGAGCCAGCAGTGCTCAAGGCGACCCTGGGAAAAGGTCACCAGTAAGTAAATAATATCAGATTGCAGTCTTCTCTTGCAGCAGTACGGTATGTGGCTTCATGGATCAGTGACCAAATGTGTCCAACGACTACACAAACAATTTTTAGACAGTCTTTCAGACAATCAAATAGCCAATTAGTTTGCTAATTAACAACCAAAGTTCTCTGACCAACAAAAGCAAACAGATCAGCAATTCAGTAAGTAGAAAACCAGAGATAATCAGCAGTTGACAGAAATTTGATTGACAATCGGCCAGTGCTCTGATAACGATCTCAGTGGTGTTCAACTTTCACAATCAGCAATTAATCAGCAATCAATCAGCAATCGATCGACAATCAGTTTTCAGCAATCAGTTTTCAACAATCAGTTTTCAGCAATCAGTTTTCAACAATCAGTTTTCAGCAATCAGTTTTCGGTAAATGATTCGGCAATCAGTCCTCAGTGATCATCTAGTCAGTCTGCGCCAGCTAGTCTACTCATGAGCACAGTTCAGTCTACGCTGGTCAGTGAGTCAGTGCTGACAAGTCTTAATCGGATTTCATGCAAGGAGGCATTCTGCTATAAGTATGTTAATGTCATTGTTTTCAGACAAGGAGATCTGTCGATCTTCGTTGTCCAGACCAGCTTTGCTGACGGTACTATCCATGACCTGAGGCCATACTTGAAGAAGGGCAAGGAGGCTCATGAACATTTCGGCCCAGTCTGGATCACGGCCACCAAGTACCTCGAGCAGAGAGCGAGGGAGCTCGATGAGGGTGGCATTACGCTGATCCGCAACTTTGGCCCAAAGCTTTATACCGACTATCCCAGGCCTACTGTTCCTTCTCTCCTCACAGATGGCACGATTTGGCTTGATATGATTAACTTGGCGAAAAGGTATATCTCCCAGCAGTAATTGGCATTGAGGCACTGACTGAGCCTACCGAGTATCCCTATCTCAGACGAGGGGTCTTTTCAGTGGACGGACTGCCTACTTTGTGGGAGGAGTTCTGCTCTATGGTTTACTTTCGTGTCATGTATCTCGGATGGTCATGCTCGGAACTTGCTGGCTTCAGGTGACTCTTTGTCACGAGGCCTCAATCTAAGACTGTACGTGGGTGTGGGTCACGACACCAAAAATGAACAGCGAGATGAGAGATTGAGAGAGAATGCCTAAAGAGATGAGTGAGAACTTTTGAGAGGTGCTGACCACGCTTGTTTATGTGTACTCTCTGAGATTATTATGAGTTCTCACTTTTCCCTCATTCATCTTGTCTTTGCCTTGAGTCAGTCAGTCTTCATTATCTCTTCTGACATTACTTGATGATTGTACTTCCTTGTTGATCATGTCACAGTTCTCAATCCCCTAAATTGGCATCTTGATATACACATGGCATATTTAATTTAATTTTTATTATCAGCATTATCATTGTTGTTCCGAATCACAATTAAAGATTCATAAGACCGGGGACTGGCGAAGCCGCAATTGAAGGGTCTCGCTCGAAGCCGGACGCACACAACAGGAAGGGATCTGCTTTATTTAATTAATTTTATTTATTGCATTCACATCCAAAATCCTGCCTGACAGCCTGTTGGTTTTCTTGGTCGCTTAAAGTGGCTCGACTAAAAAAAAGTGCGACACCGTACGTACGTGCGTTCGGGTTCGGGCGTTCAACCTGTCCCAAACGCCGGTAACTTTGTGTATAGATATATATTAGTCACTTGCAAATATGCTAAGTGTTTAAATTTAACGAAAATTTGCTCAAAACGTTGATCCTTCGATATTACCACAACTTTTTTTTTTTCAAGAAATCAAAATTATATTCACATAGCATGAACGTTGTAAAGAAACTACTTTCAGAATCATTGAATAAACTTTTGCAAGATACATGCAATTGTCACGCCATTTATATTTGTAGTTGTATATTCAAACAACGATTTCACTACATCTTCTATACTAGCATAGCAAAAACTAAAAGTTTGTCAAAAATCGTTTTAAATATTGTTTAAACAATGTTAATACCTTAAGTACATATAAAATTTGTAAAAGGATATGGATTGCAAACGATTGTTAAACTCGAGTGATGACAAAGATTTGTTAACGAGGTAATTGGAGGTTCCGATTACACTCCTCCTCCGTGTATAATACAACCAAGTGGTTAAGCATTACTTTTAGTGTAGATCAAACATTGTAATAACAAAACAAATAGCAAAGATTGTTTGAACCATCTTACCGGTTGTGCGGCTATGTTTTTTGTAATCCAAAACATGAAGAATAAATTATTTTAGTCTTCACATTGTGTTGATATAAAAAACAGTTTTATATACCCTTTGGTTAAACTACAATCGATTGAATTATTTTATTCTTTTATCATGCATTCAATCACTCGAATTATTTATTTGGCTTGAAAAATCGAAAGCGTCAATTACTATGTAACTCAATTTTATTCGTGCGTGAAGTAGTTGAGAAATAAGCGAGATTGAAGTTTTTCATATTCGCTTATTTCTATTGTCTTTTTTTTTTTTTTTTCAAATTTGTTTTATTTTTAAACTTGTCTAAAAAAAAAATATTTTTTTTACCTAATTTGTTTCACTTCAAAATTTTTAAAATATTTCTGTACGATTATTTCCCTTCATCATAAGTATGACAACAATGTAACCCTATAAAAAAAATCAAATGTGTGTTCATTACGCGAACATTCTTATCTCATGTAATACACTAATTTTTTTTTGCTTTTTAACACAATTGACATTTTATTTGACCGAATAACACATATAGGTAAATGAAAAGCAGATTTGAGGTTTTAGTATAATATCCTTTTCCATTTAGTCATTCTTAACCAATAATTTCGATATTACATACTCAAAATTAAAAAAAAAATAATAAATTAAACCAGCAGTACGTTTTTTAAACCTTTTTTTACAATGTGGTTGCATGTGCTTCGCGTTTAGCGGAATGTAGCGGGTGTTGCTTTGCAAAATATCCGTATAGGCAAAACAAACCTAGCATGTGACATAATTGGTCTGGATTTATTTTTTGCGAATGGACGTCCAAGTACATTCCACAAGATGGCAAACGTATTAGTGGTTTGAAACCAATGACTCTTTCTATACTTTTTTTACTTTGTGAACACGATACTGAGTGAAGAAATATCAACGGACTCATAATCTCAGTTATCCGACCAGACACCCAGGACACTACTAAAATTATAGTATTATTCTATCTGTAATAGGTTCCGTACAAATTTGAAAAAAAAAACTTGAATATCAACATTGTTGATGCTAAAATACTCATAACAAACGTATAGAACCTCCTCCACTCTGCAATCCAAAACATCTGTTTTCGTCAAGAATATCAGCAAATGACAAGTGGCAAGCGGCTCGAAAAATATGTGAGTTTATGTTGTTTGTTGGTTGAGCAACTCCTGATTTTATAATGGTACGAAAAATATGAGGGAACAATGCAACTTATTTGATTATATGAAACTGAATTTATGTAGTTTCTTATTAAACTACCATGTCAGATTTACTGGCTCTAGAGTTTTGTACACATTGTCCTTGTAGAGGATCCGACAGGACATGTGATGACAAAGACAATCTTGGTCTCTATGCGAAATTACACTAAGCCTGATTTCAAGATTATGGAAGAGAAGAAGGAAGAGGAGGGAAAACATAAAACAGAAGAGAATGTGAAGGACAAAGAGAAAGAGGAGAAGAAAGAGAAAAAGGAAGAGGAGAAAGACTATAAGAAAGAAAAGGAAGAGAAGGAAGAAAACCACAAGGAGGAGAAGGAGAATGACGAGGAGAAAAAACACGAGGAATGAGATGGAGGAATGATGAATCACAACAATAAGGATGGTTTCATGGGGAAAGGGATATTATGACGAGTTGCTGCTAGTTTGGCAACCTGCGTGCTTGCCCCTTAACCAACACAAGATACAAAGGGAACAACGGAGGGTGGTGGTGGAGAGGTATAAATGACTCTCATACGAAGGAGATATCGAATGGAAGATAGGGTTACTACTATCTAGGGACAAAGTTGGGAGACTACGGTGGTGCTCTGCATAGTCCTCGTTCGGGGAGAGATAAAAGGGAAGATTCGGGTCTCGTGAAAGTCAGTAAGCATCCTTGCGGGGGGGCTCTTTACTCTTAGAATAGACAATAGGGTAGACGATAGCTTGTCGTTATATGTTTAGTGGGCAAACTCTCACTGTATATATATTATTGATAAGGAAAGGAGAGTTTTTAATTGATCGCAAAAACGATATGAGGGTGCTAGTTGATGACATAGACAAGGTGTTGCATGTCGATGATGGAGATTAGAGTGTTCCTTGTGTATGAAAGACATGGTGAATCGATAAACGAAGACAATAGAGGTGTCAATCAAGGGTAGTAGAGATTGAAAGAGGTCTAGTGGATGGTTGAGTTATGGATAAAAATAAAGTAGACCTTAGTGGATGAACCAGGGCTAAATACAAACGTAATGCAAGGCTCATACAAACATGCTTGAACCAGGGCTAAATACAATCAAGGCGTTGCGAACACCCGTAATGCAAGGCTCATACAAACATGCTTGAACCAGGGCTAAATAGGGTATTACGCTTAGCGTTGGCGCCTACAACCATTGGCTTGTCAAATCATTCAATCATGAGGTGGTAGAGGGGTGATTATCCTGAGTTGTAGGCATGTGGGAGTGGGGTGTGCCATGGACAATTAAACCGCCAGTACCTAATGGTTGGGGCGGCCGTTAACGCGGAAACCGAATCGGCCTGCCCCTTCGGTCCAAATTCATTTGAGGCCGGCGGGTACGAAAAATGCGGTAGGCACTGGTGGTTTAAGAAAAAGGTGGCCGGAGTCTTGTTTTTCCTCCCCCGCTCTTTCATCTTCTTTTTTTAAGGGTGGCTTAGAGATAGTATTGTCGAACTGAATGACCCTATGTAATTCAAAACTTTTTTGATTCCATTAATCTAATTTATGTGAATTCGAGCTCAGGTCCATAGGTTTGCCAATTGACTAGGCTTGGTGGCTGGAGTCTCGTTAGGAGTACAAGGTCAGATTCTACTAGATTGTAGTGTGAATTGATTTGAAACATTCCTTTCTTCATTTTTTCTGTCTTTTCAGTTCATCGTGTTCAGAGTCATGATGAGGGTCTGCAACTTCTAACGGGAATTGTGATGACAATTGCGCTCCTCTGTAAATTTTATAACGAATACTCCCAGGGGCCGAGGTCCGAGACATTCTAGAATTAGGCAGTATGATATATATGATACTGCATTGCAACGCTATTTTTTTTTTTTTTTTTCAGGCCGTTGCCTTCAGCGTCCGTGCATGTGTTTCCACATGCACGACAGAAACCAGCAGGACAGTTTCGAGTTTATTTGCCCCTGTCCTTGGGTCCACTGGGTTTCTCCCCGCACCAGTACCGAGGCCAATGCCGAACCCTGCTTTCCTTCCGTGTCAACTGCCGCGGAATTGTTTTTCAAGCGGGGAAAGGTACTGAGCCTGAAGCTATGCCAGGCTCTTGTGGGTAAGAGCCTGGCCCGGAAACCACAAAGAAAAGGCCCAGTTGGAGGCTCTGGAGCCTTGGAGGTTAGCTTGGTTGTATCAAGCTCAGGTGAACTGTTCTTTCCTACTGAAAGGAGACACCGGGACGCATTACCAAGTGATATCCCTCTCGACCTACAGAAGAAAGGAGACACCTGGACAGATTACCAAGTGATACCCCTCTCGAACATTCAATCACCGAGGGGCACACCTCTCAGACACCTTTTGAAATGGGTATGTGGAGTGCCTGCCTGTATCTGTAGCTGGAAGGCTCACCTATCAAACATCCGTTTCTGGTTGGGTAGGTGACCACCTGCCCGTAACTTTAGCTGGAAGCCTCACGTCTCCAACATCCGACTCCAACTTCAATGGCTAAGCTGGAGCACTTACCTATAGCTGTAGCTAGAAGGCTCACCTCTTGAACATCCGTCTTCAGCTTCACTGTCTACGTGGAGCACCTGCCTGTGGCTGTAGGTGGAAGGCACACCTCTCGATCACCCGTTTACAGATCCCTAAGAAGGCTCCTACAGGACGCTTCCAAACCAACTCTCCGAGTGTGCGGCCGGCCTGCAGCTGACTGATGGGAACCTTTCGGACTGAGAGGGCGAGCCCACCCTATGGCTGAATGGTCCTCAAATGCAGGTCATGAGCTCGATCCCGGATATACAATACGGTTAGGGGCTCTACCCAAAACGAAAGGGTACCAACGGGCGTAGCTCAGTTGGTACACCCATGAACTGTTGAAATGCAGACCCAAGTTCGAATCCAGACACAATCAGATGACCAGAATACAATCATTCTGAATTACCTGGGGCCGGTCACCCTTTCAGAAGAAAAAACAAACAAAAAAGGCACGGGAGCTGTGTATGTGTACTCGTCGAACAATAGGGGGGGATGCAAATGCAAAAGAAGAAACAGTAAAGCAAGGGGGTACGGCAGGTGGGGACGGCACGGCAGACAGGGGAAGCTGAGGCGGGAATTGGGTCGAGGTGGTGCTGCGAGAACTCAAAAAAACGCACCCCTTACTGGCAACAGCGAAGGGCCTCGCTCCACTACTCATCGAAGCCGAGAAACGGTGCGAAGCGGCGAAAAGCGGTAAATGCATATTTCCGTCAATGAGGGAAAGATTCATTCGCCATTTTGCACGTCTGTGGCGCGGCCTCAAAGTTGCTGCCGCTCCCCCACTGACGTCTGGAATGGAATTGCTGGCCGGCGCCGGCACACAGAAAAAAAGCAGAAGTTGAAGGCGGTCTTCAATCTTCTTGGCAGAGGAGGAAGGGCTTATAGTTTGTCTTTAAAGTTAGGGGAGGTCCTCTTCAGGCAACACGAGAGAGATTCCGCCGACATCTTCTCGTCGTGGTCGTCGCAGATTCCTCTGGCTGTGTGCGATTGCTGCAGACTCCATATCCCGTTCTTATCAAGCTTATCCTCTCTCCTATCCTTGTCTACCAACCGCGAAGATGGGAGGCGTTGCTTTTGAGAACCTGTCCTCCTCGGAGGGGGTGAAGGCCCTCGACGATTATTTGTTGACGAGAAGCTATATCACCGGGTATGTGTTAGTACTTTCGTCTCTCGTTCAGCCGGCGTTTCGCTGAGCTTCGGCCACATGTCAGTTTTGATAGGGTTAGGTATGTCGTCACAGTGAGCAATGCGTCTTGCTACTTCCCTATGAACTTGTGAGGTATGGAGATGGTTTAGGTTTTCCTTCACGGAAAGAAATGCATCCTGCTGTTTCCTTAAGAGGAATGGAACTGGTTTAGGTTTTCGTTCACAGATATGTATCTGTTATGGGCGGTGGACATTTCAGGTAGTGAATGGGACTGGCTTAGGTCTTCTTTCACAGAAGGTCATCTGCCATTTGCAATAGACATTTCATGCCATGGAGCAGGGGTTTATTATGTGCACACCGTGGTCGATCACGTTGTTCTCTTGCGGTGTGAATAGGTCAGGCTTTGATGTTTGGTTTTGTGTTTTCTAATTTTCCGTCCGTTGTCTATACTGTCACAATCTATGATAGTTTGCTAATAGGCATTGTGTTGGTGGTTGAACCTTGTTTTGTTCTGTCTTTATATGCAGATCACAGGCTTCTCGTGATGATCTCGCTGTTTACCTCGCGCTGAAGACCGCTCCGAGCAAGGAGTTTGTCAATGCTTCAAGATGGTACTCTCATATCACTGCTCTTCTGAAGAAGACGTAAGTGGATGGCATTTCGGATTTCGCGTCATTTCGGATTTCGCGTGTTTCGTCGTTACCTGCCTATTCTCTCATGCCCTGTCCTGTGCGTTCGTTCTCTCGGTCTTCCCTTCCGTGCTTGGTTTCTTGTCTTTCTCTTGCTTATTGTGTATAAGTGTTCACCCTTCGTTTGGCTGACCACGGGCCCATCGTCTGAATTTTCTGTTCCCTTCGGTTTTCTTCTCTGTTTCCCTGTTTTTTTGCTATTGTACTTTCCTTCGTTTGGCTGAACACGGGCCCTTCGTCTGCACTCTCCGATCACCTTAGGGTTTCTTTTGTTTCCCTGTTTCTGTGCTTTTGTGCCTGTCTTCGTTCGACTGACCACGGGTCCTTCGACTGCCCTCTCCGTTTCCGTTCTGGTGTCTTATAAGTTCCTCTGTTTCCTCGCTCTTGATTTTTCTTCGTGTGTTCAGCTTCCGTCCGCCCTTACACGCTTACGTGATTCGAGCTTGAGAATACGTATTATGATTTTTTTTAAAATTTTTTAACGTGGATTATTGGTCGATTCATGCGTCTTCTTTCCGCAGGGGCCATCCTAATCTTCTCTGTATCGCTCCAATTTTAATGGATGTCCCGACACACCGTGATATGATTTGATGCGTGTGTGAAGAGCAATTGGCGCGGTCGCATGCGCCGCATTTATCGATAAATTAATTAGCCGTGTACGAAAGGTAGCTTGCATCTGTTTTCGCATTTTTGCTTCTGACCACTCTTTGTCTCTGCTCGCACGATTCCTTGATCTCTCCCTTTCCTTCGCTTGTCAACGGCTTCCCAAGTTCTCCTTCCTCTTTAGTTTCTTATGATACTCGCTCTTCGTTTGTCCGCCCACTTTTGCTTCGTCTGTGCTTTTCCGTCTTAAGCTGTCTTCTCTGCAAGGCCTGTCCTTTCACGTCTCCCTCTGATCACATCTAGCCTTGGTCATGTTTCTTCACTTCATTCCCTTCGTGGTCCAAAGCCTGTCCTCCATCGATACCTTAATCTCCTGATCTCGGTCATTTCACGTCTCCCTCATCACATTTAGCCTTGGTGAGTTCCAAAGTCTGTCCTCCATCAGTACCTTTATTCTCCTGACCGCTATCTTTATCGTCTCTCGTGCAGACCGGTCTATGTTATTTGTCGTGTTTTGGTGGTATCGTCGCTTGTGCAGACCGGTCTATGATATTTGTCGTGTTTTGGTGGCTTTCTCTTCGGTCTTCCAGACCGTGTCTCACCCGTCTTGTTTAGGACAGCAATTTGTCTTGTGTTCGGTCCTTTGTCTTCTCTGTTGTTGGCATAGCTTTTATTGTCGTATGGAAGTGTTCTTGCCGTGTGCACTTTTCGTTGTTCCCGGGTAATTTGCTTGCCGTCTCGCTCCGTTCAATGTGCTCTTTTTTATTGGCGCACTTGTCCAGGTTTCGTCTTTCCAGTACCGGCAGATCGCGGGTTTGACGTTGTCCTCCCTGGTTTCTGTGCACGATTTCGCTCGTACGTTGTGCCTCTTTGTTATATGCTTCGGGGCAGATGTTTTCATTTATAATTGTCATATTCACTGCTGCACTGGCAGATTATTTGCTTCGATGCAGATATAGACGTTCTTATTTATATTTGTCACATTCACTGCCACTGCTCTGTTTATGTCAGGTGATGATGCAGGTAGACGCTGCACTGGCAGATTATTTGCTTCGATGGAGATATTTATGTTTAGTTGTCATATTCACTGGCACTGCTATGTTTAATGTTTAGGTGATGCGGCTGTGGGATTCATCTCTAAGATTTGTGGGATCTCAGGGCTACTGTAGTGTACGATTCGAACGTTCCGATATAGTTAATTGACTAATTAGGATATGTTTGCCAGACGCTGAGTACGAATACGACGCATTCGATTTCCACGATGTGGCAAATGGTCCCCTTTTAAGATGGTATCCCCACACGGCATTGGGTCGAATTGTCCGCAACGAGCACTAAAGCTAATTGCTAGTGATTACCGCGCCACATTTGCCTTGCTTTTTGATGGACATTGCAGTAGATGCATCTCTTGGTCGTTTTGGCTCCCTCACTAATCCTAATTTCCCGCCTTCTTGCGTTATTGATGTCTCCTCAGAAAGTTTTATCCGTTTATGACCGTGTCCACCTCGTCTGATATAATGGTTTTCTGACTGCTGCGCTCTTCTAGCCGTCCGCCCCATCGTGAAGAGTTTCCTTCGGATTTCTTTCAAATTTGGTGGTTGTTCTGGAGTGGTATGCCGTCTTCACCCGAATTGTCCGTCGTTGTAGCTGTATCAGGATTGCAAATTGTCCCAATACGGCTATAATGACCAGAGGGTTGTGTTCGTGTGAAGTTGGTAGTCTCTTCGGAGCTGAAAAAAAACCCTTGCCATGGTGTATGTGTGTGGAGACGCGGGGTCTATCAAAACGATGAGAGCATATCTTATGTTGGACATTGTCTTATCATAATATGGACGTATCAGGTCTTGTTGAGTAAACAAAAAGAACGAAGTCAAGCACTTCGGCGGAATTGTCCGTCCGCCACAGTGCTGCTCTTCTGTCAGTAACTCCCACGCTGCCTCAGTTTCCCTTTGTCGGTGACGTCTGCCGACCGATGGGCGATTATCAGTATTTTCGCCCTAAGTCTGGGAACTTGCCTTCACTTTTTGCCCTAACTATCTGAGCCGCCCTACAAATTTTCCCAAGACGGGCGCTGATTGGGTGGGCAGACAGATTAAATTGTTGCTGTCCGAAATGGGTTTGTTTGAGGTTTGGTATGTGTTCCGAAGTGGTATACATAACGTAGCGAGAGGATGAGATAGATGAGTGAAATACTGCAAATATATTGAGAAATAAGGGTTATTGGGCGATGCGCATAGGAGAAGGCGGCCATGCGGGCAGCCAGCTTGGACGAGAGAACCGTGGTGAAGAATGGGCGAAACTTCCCACGTGCATATCAACCGTTCGTTCCTAATGCTCATGCAGCCTATGAACGTCCGTGACGTGATTTTCTTTATGCCCATGAACTTACCGTCTTCCCCCGAATACAATGTACTGTCATTATAGCTGTAATTAGACTGAAAGATGGGCCAAATTCAGCTATAATGGTCCGTACGTTGTATTCGGGGGAAGAAGGGAAAGATATCCTGTCGTTGGTGAACATTACTATGTGGCAAGCGTGCAGATCACGTTTGGCAATATGCCCTTTCGTGTGATGTCCTGTTAGTCTGTTTGATTTGAAAGATAGAATTGCGTTCCTCGGTAAATATGTACGCATGGGCAGAGCAGATGAATCTGCAGTGTTTCCATTGCCACTTTTGATCCTGCGGTATTGAAAAACTAACCCGTTGTTTCGGATTCCGTTTGCAGATTCCCAGGCCAGGCTGAGGGTGTTAGTATCTCTGGTGAAGTAGCTGCTGTTTCTGCGCCGCCCCCTCAGACTCCAGAGACTGATGCTGCGGAGGTAGGTTCCTATACGAATCCTTTGGTACTGTGCGACGTCATCTGGTGAATAAGGTGTATGTTCCGCTGCTCCTGTTAGACGCTATGATGTTTTCCCTTGTGTGAACCAATTTGGTATGGTTATTTTTCTCTCGACGTCTGTCGTACTGGAGGTTTGGTACGTACTGAATTGTATTTGGACGTCATCTCCCCGCTCAAAGTTTTTGTTCATTCCTATCATTTTAGAGTTGGACTTATTTGAACGTTAGGTGAACTTGAATCGAAATTGGTCTCTAGCGATGCGGATGTTCAGCGTTTGACTGAAATTTCGGTTTCACTCTGAATTGCAGAAGGACGACGAGGATGAAGATGATGATGATCTGGACCTGTTCGGTGAGGAAACCGAGGACGAGAAGGCGGCGAGAGAGAAGCGTGAAGCTCAATTGCAGGAGGCCGGAAAGAAGCCGAAGGGTAGGTTTATTTTATTGACCTCGAAGTCGACATTACCCGCGTTTCTATGTGCAGATGTTGAACAAACCCTTCTGGTCTTATGTTTCTGTGATCGAAATCCGTGTCTATGAAGTGGCTGCTGAGTGCTCGCTCTGATGAGCGTCGTCACGGTGCACTTTTTTGACCGTGGTTACGTACTGAGTAATGTAAATACGATTCGCAGAGAACTGAGTTTCGTAAATGAATATTAAATAGTAAGAGCAAATTCTGCATTGTCGATTTATGTAGACTAATAAAGCTATAAACGGTAGTGTTAATATGTCTTACAGGGCTGCCGTGTTTACTCGAATAGAACAGCCGGTCGTTAGAGTGTATATGTGGCAGCTTTCAACCAGATGCAGCAAACGTAATCGAGCCTTTTATTCGCGTAGAGGTGGTTGTTTCGAGCCAGCAGTACTGGCATGTTGAGGCTAAGTAACCGAGTAAGAAGTGAGGGTGTGCCCCGCTTAATTTTTAGTACATCAATACCATATACTAACGTCTTCGTGCGAATCTACAGCCATCAGAGTTTTGTTAGGCGCAACTTTCAGTCGATATATGGCCGTAATCGTCTAGCTTTATGTTTGAGTGAAGACGGTAGCTTGTGAGGTTCTCGACCCTTTCTCGAAACTCGTTTGAAAGGCAACAGATCTTTATATCGAAAGGTGCACGATATACTAATTTCGAGATTTCCATGAGTTGTGGAAGTTTTCGGTAGTGTTGAGGGTGATAATCCGGGTGGCGAGCGATTTGCAGGACCTGACTAATGTGATTCAAAAACGCCGATTGCGGCTCAAGAATATTTTGCTAAGAACGTTAAAGTTGAATCTCCCGAGGGGTATTGGGCGGAATTGATGGACGGTTATGGATTGCGGGACCTGACAATTGTGGTTCGAATGGCGAAGTGAAATGTATAAAAGGGTATTTATTTTGATATTGCGGTTACGGATGGCGAAGTTAAATCCTCGTCTTAGGGGTACTTATCGTTCAGTTAAATGACATAAGTGCTAGTGTAGTCATCCCGATGGGTGGAATTGATTGTTTGTAGGTGGAGTAGTGGATGCGGTGTCCAAACCGTGAATTATAATAAATGTAGCGATTGTGAGGGTGGGGAGGTGCATAGGGATTGCAGTGCTTGGCAGGTTTTCTTGTGATCTGACGGCTGTTGTGATCTCTTGGCCTGTTGCAGTTGTAGCGGGGAAGTCATCCATTGTTCTTGATGTGAAGCCATGGGATGATGAGACGGATATGAAGAAGCTTGAAGAGGCTGTCAGGGCAGTTGCCATGCCCGGCCTTCTCTGGGGAGCGTCCAAACTTGCGCCTGTTGGATATGGCATCAATAAGCTGCAGATCATGATGACCATCGAAGACGATCTCGTTTCAGTGGATCAGCTGATTGAGGATCACCTGCAGGAGGGTTCGGCGGCAGAGTACATCCAGAGCGTGGATATCGTTGCCTTCAACAAAATTTAAACTGCGGAATTTTTCTTTTAGTTAATTCACTCAGAGAGATTGTGGATTTGGTAATGATGTCGAAATGTTAGTATTCGCGTTGTTGTGATTCGAAAAGTGGAAGTGGGCAATTTTTTTGGCGAAATGTTCTCTCCATATCCGAGTTCATGACCGGTGTGTATATGGTTGGTCCGGCCACTGGAATTATTGAGTTGGAAATTGGAATACATTCGGAGAACGAATTGAGTATGTCTACTAGTATCTTCTTTGTCTGCGCGTGTTGATCGATGGTTGGGTCCAAAGTGTGATTTGGAAATTGGAATGTATTTGAACGACGAAGTGAGGAAATGTGAATTGTTTCTTCCTTTCCTGATGGAATCGCAGAATCACTTGTTGTCGGACAGTGAATCTTGGAGTCGTGTATTGTGTATTGGAGGGTGTAATCAAATCGTGTATTGCTTTGGAGGGTGTGTAATCAAATTGTGTAGTGTCTTGGAGGGTGTGTAAGCAAATCGTGTTTTGTGTATTGGAGGGTGTGTAATCACATCGCGTTATTTGTCTTGGTGGGTGTGGAAATTTTGAGCTGTTTGTATTTAAAGACCGATGCGTGATGGTAATGGAAGGATTGAGGTGTAACCCATTTCGGTTGTCGATTAAATTTTGTCCATTGTTCGTGTTTACTGAATATTGGGGTCTGCAATTGGATGCATGTCCTGAGGAAATGTCCTGGATGAAACAGCTGTGAGCTGAGGACAATGTGGTGGGGATGGTGGTGAGAAAGATTTGTTTAATTTCGTGAAGTGTAGTACAGCGGTGGAATGGTCATTGTGCAGGCGGCGCATGGTGGCGGTCGATCGATTAATATTGTGGAGGGTAAATTCTAGTTCTTTTGTTGATGCTTGTTTTGTGGACGTTTGCGTCGTTTGTTGGGCACGAAGTGTCATGTCAAGACACTTATTTTGACTAAGCGGTTCGTGAGGTTCGCAAATCCGTTTGTTTTGATGGGGGAAGAGCTGCGCCCAACCGTTGGTGTCGGCGGGGTAGAAGGGTGGAGGTAACGTCTTGCGCAGTCCCTGCGTCAGGTTATTTTTGTGGATTTGTGCTGTGAGGGGACGTGCACTGCAGATGTAAACGTTCCTTACGCCCACGTTATACGTTCTCTAGAGGCGCAATGGATTTGGACTGAGTAGGAAAATGTTGGTAGGTTGTGAAAAACGAAGTGTGGAGACGTGCATCATACATTGCGCTCCAGAAATGTGAGAGAGGAATGTGATGTCGATGGTCTCGGTAGGGAGTTCGTGGTTTTGGAAGGGAGTTAACATCTCGTGGTTTTGTTGACAGGATGTGCACTCTGTTTCTATTTCGCGAAATTTAACTTGAACGAGTCTGGCGGGATGTAGTTTTTCTTTTCCGCGAAAGATGAGCTTTTACCATTTTCTGGTAGCGCAGTTTTGGGCAAGCGTTGTTTTCAGTAACAGTAGCACGTGGGAGTTGCTGTTGGTCAGAGTTTTTTTCTGTGTTTAACATTCGACATGCATTTAGACGTTTTCTCGACCGAGTGCATAGAGTTGTCCAACATTTTGAATGTATCGTGTTAGCAACAGTAGAGTTTGGACGCTTTCTCGACCAAGTGAATCCGGAGGTGTCCAATAATAATTTTGAATGTAAATGTATGAGAATGATCACCGCTCCTCGTCCGAATCGGTCAGATCTCACGATCGCAGATGAGACATCTGGCTCTTCGCTGTATTGTGGATGCGTTCGCGATGTCTCTTCTGCCACTTTCCGCTTTACGTTAACCCGTTTGTCGCTATTTGGATCCTACCGTTTTCCCCCGAATACAACGAACCCCGATTATGGCCGAGCAAGGAAAGAAGGCTCGTATACGTGCGTTGTCAGGACGAGTTGTCATCGGTGGACGACGGTAGAATAGAACCACATTAACGTATGGACTGGCGTGATTGAGTGATTACATGGAACCATTGAGAACCAGCAGAAGGTTACACGAGCCTAGGTTCATGAAGATAGGCCGTGTGAGGCTGGCGTGCTTCTGCGTCTTCTAAAAGTTGCCTACCGCGCTTTCACTACTGTCCCTGGGGCCAAATCGAAATCCTCGGTACTACCAGGGTCATGCTCTCCAATCGTGAACAGAGCACAGGTGGGTCACTATGTTACTAGGAATTGAGATTTTTGGAATAGAGTTATTGGCCTCATGTACCGTCCTGGGCATGCTTGGCGCCCGCCACCTAGAGATAGCCCTTTGGTACTCCCAATTGGCACTAAAAAGCAGTGATGTTCATTGGGGGAGGGGTAATCGGGGGGCCACAGCCACTGGCCACTCAGATGATTCTCGGTCCCTCGGCCACCGGCTGTCCCCTGGCCGGTTGTCTCCTCCCAAGTTGGGGTTCCCTGAAGGCAATTAATGAAGCCCATCCTGGGCTGAAAAGGCCACCCAGTGTTGGATTAGACCCAGGATTGAATTTTCTGTGCTGGTTAGTCCGATAATAATACCTCAAGGCCGTCGTCCTTTACGAAAAAAAAAAACAAAACCACCGGCTCACACAAGCCTAAGTTCACGAAGCTGCCGACTAAAGCTCGCGTACTTTGAAGTCCGTCTTTTAAAAATGCCTGCCTTTTTCAAACAGACTGAGGACCGTTTCGAACGCAGCAGGTATGTACGAACTGGGTTGAAGGATGTGGGTTACGCTATGGATGTTCTTGTTGGATGTATGGTGAATGTGTAACACGACTTTGGGAGAATGATCTTCGAACAGATTCCGTCGGTTGTGTTGTGCATATATGCAATCCGCCATTGGCCGAGCGTTGCGTTCTTAAGTAATGAACCAACGTGGTATTCCGCGAGAGAAGGTATCATGCGGCACATCACATTTTTGTGGTGTGAGTGGCGAATATAGAGGACGTGTCTGGCCGCTGTTGAAGACTGAGTGGATGCAACAGCGAGAGCGTGTCCAATATTCCAAATCCCGAGGTCGACTGGGTCGTATCAGTAGATTACGATTGAATACATGAGTAGCATGTTGTGGTGGACTATCGCACGTCTCGCTAATGAATTGCGAAGACGTGCAAGAGCGGTGTCATCTAGACGTTGATCGCTACACGAGTTGAATGAAGATGGACGTGGAAGTGTACACGAGTAGCATGTTGTTTTGGACTGAGTGGATGTAACCGCGAGAGCGTGTCCAATATTCCGAATACCGAAGTCGACTGGGTCGTATCAGTACATAACGATTGAATACATGAGTAGCATGTTGTGTTGGACTATCGCACGTCTCGCTAATGAATTGCGAAGACGTGCAAGAGCGGTGTCATCTAGACGTTGATCGCTGCACGAGTTGAATGAAGATGGACGTGGAAGTGTAAACGAGTAGCATGTTGTTTTGGACTTCCGCGCAACTCGCTGATGAATGGCAAAGGCAGGCTCGAGCGGTGTTATCCAGACGTTGATTTACATCTGTGGAATGGAGATGGACGCGGAAGTGTACGTTAGAGATGGTGGGAGATGGCTTGATGTAGAGTGTGGCGTTCGGAATCGGTACATGTGACGTCGTCGTGTTCACGTTCCACCCTCCCCCCACAGTGAGCTGATCAGAACACATGCCAAGTTTATCTTAGCCAATAGGCCGAGAAGGGTATATGTTGATATACGCTCTGTATTATTTATAGGCACGTACTCTTCTGCGCTCGTAATGCCATGTTTGCTCTGCATGAACGTGACGTCGCACATGAGATTGAAGTCCCGTTTCTGTCCCGAACGGGTATTCTACCTTCAGACTTGCCAGGGGAGCCTGCTTCAACACAGTGTCAGAGCGGTGTCGCACAACGGACTGAGTTGTTGGGGTCGGTTCTACTGGTCCTGAGCAAGACTTTGGCCGTTCCCAAAAACCGTTGCATCGATGTCGCTAAATATTTCTATGTCGTTCTACCCTTTTCACCCGAATAGACCGCCCAGTCATTATATCTGTATTTGGCCCACTTTGCAGTCCACATACAGCTAGAATAACCGGGTGTTCTATTCGGTTGAAGACGATAGTTTTCGAACGAGTTCCCAGAGCAGCTTTAAGTTGAGCTACCACTAGTGAAGAGGACTGGATTCAACGACTGTACATGGACGTATTTTGTGCAGAGATGCAAAGCAGTGGGGTCTCGATTTTCCGCATCTTTGACAATTGTGGGTCTACCTTGCTGTTGATGGTAGAGATGGGGAAACGGGAATTACGAGTGCTACCTTGTTTGATTGTCTGTGGGAGGATCGGTAGATATAGCTCCGCGAAGTGACTCTCTCTCTCTCTCTCTCTACGTTCGCTTTCTGCTCTCAGTACAGCGTGCTACTGTTCCTCGCCGAGGTTTATGATGGGTGTTTGATTGTCGTTTCTGTCCAGGGTGTCACATTTTGCTGAGGAAGCATTGACACACCCTTTGCCTCATCGTTGGTTTCGACTGACCTTTTGTCTTCAAGACTGTCGTAGGCTAATAGCTACCGCTGTGGCATTTCCTTGGAATGTTTGCGCATCTGCCAGCCGGACAGGGTAGTTGCGCACTTGCCTTATCGGAAAGCAGTATCCAGCCTATGCATGGATTTCCTTACCGCTGTACGTGCTGTGTATGTGTTGTTATGGGTTCTTGTCTCATAGCGGAAGAGGAAGTGTTCAAAAACGGATCTGTTAACTGTGTAAGGCGAAGTTTGATGATTATGTATCCTAACGAGTACGAACCCAGATAGGAGGCCGATAGCGCTGTTGATAGGATCCTGTGTTGTTCCCTCTGCCCTTGTCCCTGGCAGTCCGCGCACAGAGTAGAGTTGTCCATTCCGCACCCCCACTTCGCACAGAGTAGAGTTGCCCACTCCGCACCCCCACTTCTTTGAATGAATCTGGATTTCCAGATTGGACAAATTCTGCTGTGGAGAGGGGCGGATGCAACAGAGCATTGTGGCGTTACAGAGTGCAGCCGGTGAGCATGCACTCTACACTCTGATGTTTTTGAGTCCGGGGTGTTGTACAGGCTAGCCAGCTGCCCTGAAGCGACGAACACTGCCAGCTTCTGGTGGCAGCCCGGTGAGCATGCACTGGACACGCTGATGTTTGTTTTGAGTCCGGGTTGTTGACAGGCTAGCCAGCTGCCCTGACGCGACGAAGACTGCTAGCCTCTGGTGTGAGTGTCACTCCCTCCCCTTCCCCCCCCTCCCCGCCTTTTTTAGTCATTCGTTAAGCTGGTGTGGCGTTGACCCGTGGCGTAGCTTATTTATGAAATGTGACATTTTCACAGTACACGTCGGCGACCGGTGGCGTAGCTTATTTATGAAATGTGACATGCAGTAACAGTACACGTCAGCTCACGTAGATGACACCGATCGTAGTCGAAACGCCGTAGCATTAAATAATTAACGACAGCAGAATTATAAAACTTCAGTACGAAAGTGGACGTGCTTTCATGCTCTGGTACATCATGTGCCGTTTCGCTCCGGGGAAATGAACGCCCTCTCTCCTTGCATGAACCATGACGAGGAAGAGATCCACCACAGCATGAGTGGGGAAATTACAGAACGGACTCTGCATGAACTATGACGTGCAGTCCACTGCACGTCAGGGTTGCTGCCGCATGCCATGGTGTTTTTTGACTGACAGGATCTTGCAGCAGCGAAACGTGCATTCTGTAGATGAGGCTACCTAAAAAAAAAAAAAAAAAGATGAGGCCCTGACCAAAAGTTTTTTTCGCCCTGTTTTATTTTTCGTCACGGTCTGTCTGCCAAGTTTGGTGTTTGTTGGTTCTTGGAGTTCTGTTTTGGCCAGCCCTGAAAAATCCTGAAAATCCTGAAAACTGAAAAGAGTGAGTTTTGCATGTAAGCACTCATTTGCCTTGAGGTTGAAGGTCCCTTTGATCAAAAAATTTTAATTTTTTTGCTGTTGGTTTATTTGGTGTCCACTCTATGGACTGGTGACGAGTCTGGCGTCAAAGGTATGGGACATTTGTTATAATGACCCTGAAAAGATTTCACGAAAGTTTAGTACTATGTTAACCTCTTCTCTCCAGTTGCCTGCTCACATATCCATGCCCAAGGAACTCAAGAAGACTGCTCAATCCCGTATTGATGTCCCTCCTGAGATTCGGCTCGCTTTTGATTGGCCTGTTTTGTATGGTGATGATTCATACCTATATTGTTCGGATATGTTAAATGTGCTTAAAAAAAGCTTCCAGCTGTTTTGGCCCCGCTGCCCGCCTGGCCGGCCAGTGTGCATCTGTTAACTGTGCCTAAAAAAGGAATTGGGATGAAGTCCGATTGACTGTGCCCAAAAAAGGCATTCTGATGACAGTTCTTTTCTTCTCTTTACTCTCAATTTCGTCTTTCA